CATTGTACAAGTAAAGTTCTGCCTTTCCTATAGGATGGATTGCCTTTTAACATTAAGAAAAAGATTTCTCCTAAAGTCCCTGGGCATCTCCTGCCATCTTACCTTACAGGTGAGGATTTCTGGCAACAGACTATGAGCTTCCTAATGTCACCTGAAGCATCACAGATCCTGGTGATGCATAATCTACATTTGAGAATACCTACTGCTTTTGAGGTAAGACTTCAATGAATGGATAAAAGCCTCAGATACATTTTTTTTTTTTTTTTTGCTAACTACCATGATTCATCCATTTCTATGCTCTAGGGAGAAAAATAGGAAGGAAACACTTAGTAAGGCCTCAGTTTCATTTAATATTGGTAATGAGCGTCAAGAAAACTGTGGGAAGCAGAAAAAAACCAACCTCATTCCAGTTGCAGTGGCATTTAATAAAACTAGGCAACTCTGGAAAAATAAACTCAGGAGGTGGGTGGCACATGGAAGGATTAATCTGTGTTAATTAAAAGTTGTGGAGGAGGAATATTTTGAAGGGGGGAAGCAGATTCAAAATTTCAGTGAACAATGTGATAAATACTAATTAGCCAATTATTTCTCCATAGTGGAAAGTGGCTTTCAAAGCCATTTCTTCTCCTGCAACTGTCACTCCTCCTGTTGAGCAGCTAAGATGCACCCCACACAAGCCTCAGACATAACTATTCTGGCAGGACCAGTCTGCCTCTCAGCAGTATGACTCCTTTTATCTGACATTTGATAAGGGCAAAGGAAGAGGGAATAGAGGCTGTTCCAGAGAATCAAGGTTATCTAAATTAGACATTTAAAAAGAAAAAATGTGAGAGACTAACTTGCAGAGGAAAAGCTCAACACACTTATGAGAAAGACTAGAAATAGAAACTATTGTGAACATCCCAGCTCAAGAACAATTATATCTTAAGACTGTCTATATACAGATTGTCATCCTTTTGCTCTATGCACAGAACTCTTTAAACTTTATTATGTAATTTCAGAAAGCCCAGCATTCAATGATTCATGTTGTGGAAATAAACAAAATAAAACACCAAAGCCTAACACAGACTAACTGCTGATTATCAGGAGGCAAAAGAGGGAGGGAAAGACAGATATATACAAGATCTAGAAGACAGTGGTTAGTATCATCTTATTAAGGCTGCTGTGATAACACCAAATATGAACTAACCTGGAGAGCCGTACTCGTGTCTTGGTAACCTACAGATCTTAGGCATCACTTCCATTAGGGTCTTGACATACTGAAGAATTGTCCCTTGTAACTAAGAGAAAACAGATGTATGCAAACATGTCAGTGTTATTGAATGAAGAAACTTTACAAGGAATTGCATTCAAACTACACATGAATTGGAGCAGTTCTAAAAATCTTGCGTTTAATTCCACCAGTCATCATATTTAAAAAGGCAACTTTTTCAGATGAATAGAACTTCACTTTCCTTCATGTGGCATTAGACACCTTTCACTACAAGAAGAGTGGCACAACAGCTAAGGCCAGGAAGGTAAAAAAGATGAAAACATGCTCTTGTCTTGCATACTGTTTCTACCGTTCAACTAACTTTTAGGTTTTTGGTTAAAAAGTTACATTTGAATACTTTCAAAACTATTCAAAAAGCATTCGAATACTTTCAAAAGCAACAAGAGAGAAAAGCTGACGATCAGATATGACTGTAACTGCCCAAACTGGCTCTTCTGGACATACCAGTTGAGACATAGTTCCCAGCCTACAGTCAGTCTCTCTTCCTCCTACTAGATACCTATCTCTTATCTATCTCCCCACATCTGAGTATCTGCATCAGGCATTGGCAGGATACCTTCCCCCAGGCCTTTTAACTTTCTTTGTAAATGAACTAAGTGTTCAATGCCACCTTTAATGAATTGAGAAGATTTACCACTAAGTTATTAAAAAAACAATCCCTCATAAAACACAACAAACCAACACTCAACATCCAAACCCTGAAAAATATATGTGATTTCCTCTTTCCCTGAAGATTAGACTACAGCACTTCTTCAAGCATCCTACAGCCTTTCTAGAAACCAAAAATGTAATTAGAACATTTTGGGAATTACTGTAAACAAACTGCCAAATGTGTTAAGTGCCTGAAGTGCGATTATGAATACCACAGTTTTCCCAGTCAGATTTTTTGGCAGGAAGCTTCTTACAAGCAACAGGGACAGGGTAGAAAAGAATTTCTTTGGTTTAAATTAACTGCAGTACATTATGGCTGTATATATAGATACTAATAATATAGCAAAGAGTCAGCCCCTCAACCTCCTCCTAGTTACAGAAAAGGTCCTTTCCAACGCAGGGTACCCAGGCTGTATGGGTAACATCTTCAACATCTGGCCCAAGCACCACTGCTAGATCAAACATGGAGATCGAACCTGGCTTGTTATTAAGGAGTCATCTACTAATGATGTCCTTAGTGACAGCCCCGAAGTTAGGCTCAAGGCAGAAAGCACACTCCAGCTGTTGTCAAAAACATACCAAGAAAGAAAATTTACAGTATGGTCTTTAAGTTGAAATCAACTAATTTGAAATATTCACACTTTTCCAGAGTCTACCTAGGCCCTAACATCATAGGTCTCCACAAATTAAATTAATCTCTAATGAAGAATCTCAGGTTTTCAAAACACTGCTCAGGGTACCAAGGCATAGCTATTGCTTGCACAAGACTGTCAAGTCCAGCTTATATTGAACCTCAATGGAAGTTGTTTTAATTATTTTTATCCAAGATCTTATTTTCACTTTGTTTTCCCTGAGACATTTCCTACCAGAAACCCTTTGGAATAGCAGAAAATTAAAGACAATTAGCATACCAGGCTCTTGACAACTTTCAGCAATTCCTCCATCACCACAGCAATGCCCTGATATCCAAGAAGTCTACAGATGACTTTAAAGTGAGGGGGACCAACAAAATTCCTGTAGTTGCTGTAGATGCTGGAATATGCCAGATTCAATGCCTAAAATGAGAGAATACATACGATTAATGGAAACTTTGTCTGCCTGTATCTTTATAATAATATAATTTAAACAGTGTTTTAAAGCATAATAAAACTAAAATAATGCTGTATCCCACTGTCACTCTGGAAAGTTTAATTACAGAGTTTCCCTTTTATAAGGTAGGAACTTCAACCAAAATCTCTGTATTAGCAAGACAAAGTTGTAAACACTTTTTTTTTCCACCAGACATCTTCCATTTACCATTTATAAAGCCATGAACATTTCCTCTTTCGTATTTTTATATTTACGTGAGTATAAAAGGTTTAAGAGTAGTCAAAGCCAATGTTCAGATCCCTGAATTTAAAGCACAGCTTCTATTCCTATATCATCCATTTTATACACAAAACATCTTGAAAGAAGTTACTTCAATTTTCTGTTTTAAGTCTCTGAGTACTCACCTCCAAGAAAAAGCCTTCTGCAGTTACTGCTCTCTGCAACTAATTAATAAAGATCTTTCTTCTTCAAACCCCTTAGCTGTACACAAGATCAAAGCGAATCTAAGTTTGGGATGTAACCTCATGGAAATTCTTCAAGAGCTGTATAAATAGGACAAGGTGCTTTGCCATATTATCATTTATTTCTATGAAAGTGAACACAACTGTACAGACTGGTGCTGTATGGGGATTTAAGAACTGTTTGCTGAAGCCACAGATCAGAGAGGAGTCAGATAACTTGACATCCTCCATTTCTGCAACTGGGTTGTTCTCCTAATATCCTGAAATTTAATTTTAAGAGGGAATCCTGCTCTTTCTTTGTCCTTTCTTACAGAAGGCACTGTTGTGTTTCCTTTTATTTTCTGCAGTTTCATTCTCTCTAATACACACATGGAAAACAGCATACTATTAGACTTTTAACTTCACACACAACTGTTACAGAAAATTTTCCAGGGAGAACATTCCCTTCAATGAAGATCCTGCCCTAATTACCCATGCAAGTCAACACTGGAATTCAAGTAATGAAATTCTACCAAGCTCCTGAAGGATTTTAGTCTCATGACAGAAAAGGACTTAAAAACCATCTTTAGAAGCAATGAGGATTGAAAATGCATATTTTTATTTATGTTATAAATCTCTATATAAACACTAGTTTCCAACTGTGGTCTTAGAAATTTAAAAATTTCATTCTAGATGCAAACTAAAACAGACACTTGAATAATCATTAGAATCCTAATACACAGCAGAGTCCTGCTATTACATCAGAGCTGGCTAAAAGGCCAAACTCCAAGCATGTCCCACCAGGGGGACAGTCTAAAGCAGCATCCCTCTAGTGCAACCTGGGCATTTCCATAGCTTTCTGCATATGGAAAAGGGCTCCGGGGCAAAGACAGTGGAGAGAACTGAGAAAACTTTAAGAACAGATGTGCAGGTAAACGTCCTGGTACACTAAGCATTTAAACAACTGCCCCTAAAAGATCAGATTTCCTCTTTTGCTTTTGATGTTTCCAATCAGGTAGGTCTCCACAACAAACACGTCCGAACTATGTATTTTGACTACAGCACAAGAAGAATTTTACTTCAGTAGGTTAAAGCCTTTCACTGCTGTGAGGTTAAGGGGAAGGAACTTCTCTTCAGACAGCAAAAATTTGTCATAGACAAGCAAGCCCTAAACCTATGATTTCAGTATTTAAAAAACTTCACAATAAGAAGCCAGCCAATCTAAAAATACAGCTTTCTTCAAAGTAAACCTCATGGGAGAGTACCTAAAATGGTCCACTGTAAATGCTGGATTATTGAAGCTTTATGAACTGTGAGAAGGGATTTAGAAAACACCATTACACACCACCACCACTTCCCCTCCACGATGCACAAAAGCATAAAATCCTTAGGGAAGAAGCCACTAACAAAAGGGGAGTGGGGGTGGAGAGGGAGGGAAGACAAGTTGTTGTTCATTATTTTTTAATCTATACTTGCTCCCTCCCCTACTTAAATTAAAAAAAAAAAAAAAAGAGTTGTTAGTTGCTGATGTCATCTAAGTGCTAACATTAATCACTCACAGCATCACTAGTCCACGCACAAGAGCATATAACAGGGATGCTCAAGCAGTACACTGTCCAAGGGGAGGCAAGCAAGAGAGGGGGGAAAAGACATTATTTTTTTCCCCTGTATAGTCTTTGAAAAGCCAGGCAACAGCATCTTTAGACAAGATGTGCTCTTGCATGAATTTAAGTGGAAGAGACAAAGAAACCATGCCACTAACAGCATCGGAGAAAAAAACTGAAATCATCAAGCAATGAGAATTCAGTCCAGGGAATCTGAGGGGAAGAAAAAGCAAACTGGCAAACAGAGATCAGTCAGGAAATAATTCATGTGGAAAGGGATAGAGAAAACTTGGTATCTAAATCATTTTCACAGCAGCATCGTCATATGAAAATCCTGTTCTGAAATTTCCATCAGGAAGTGACGGTAAGTACTGACTTTACAATCCATAAAACATCAAATGGTTTTTCCAAACATTTACATGTCAGTAACTATGTGTCTTCTAATAACTGATGTTTTGTAACGTTAGAAACGTATCATTGTTTTTTAATTACAGTCCAAACATTCTACTTACAAAATGCTGTGAGGATTAAATTGGTGAAACTATTGTTTCTAGGCTGTGTTAGGAAGTGTTCTAAAAAAAAAAAAAATGTAATTTTAAGTGCTAGGGATATACCAGCTAAAGAGAAGACAGTCGAGAAAGTAAAAGCTCTGATCTTACTAATGCACCCAATTTCAGTATCTGCAGTAGCTGGGTAGATGCCAAAATGTGTCTGTCTGATAAGTTTATTTGATAGCAAACTCAGTTCCTTTATATTGTTTCTGTATTAAAAGGGTGCACTTACCACATAATTAGAACAGTGGCATCTACTCAGATCATTCATATCCATAGTTTTACATCATAATGCAAATAAACATACATATTTTTCTTCTCACTTCCCAATAAGTATAATCCAAAAGCCTTGAGCAACAATTTTCATAGATAAATAGGTATAGAAATATTACTATTAATGTAATGTCACTATCAAAATCCCACTAAAATATATACTTTTCCAGTCTTCTATATAGTATAAAATATAAGTATTACAGAATAATTTCAGAACATGTTATGAGCAAATCTTACAAGATTTCTTCCTCAGAGAATTTTCCATACTTAATTGCTATTTAGCCAGGAGATGTAACATTTTAAATCTGATCATAACGAATTCATTTTATAATGAAGTCATAAACAATTAAATACAGTGTTATTGTCATGGCCATTTATCTTCATTAAAAAAGTAAGAAACTTTCCAAGTGGAAGAAAAACTTTCACATGAGTGCCACTGGAAACAGACAATTAAACGAAGAGATAGGCTCTTTTTCAAAAGTTACACTCACAACAGTAAAAGCAAAACCAAATGAAAATACCCACTGGCTGTTATTATATATCCTTTCATAGAAGTGTTTAGAAAATTGCACAAAATGCTTTTTGCACAAGATGCTTTCCTTTCACTATTTACAGTGGTAACATATACTGAGAATCTCAGAATACTGGCAGGTTTTCTATTTTGAATTTTATTATGAGGAGAAGTTCAGGGCAGACAGACTATGGGATTACATGAAATCATTTAGAACAGAAAAGACTATTAGCAATTTTAAAAAAAAAAACACAGTACTTTTCCAAGAGGTATGCTACAGTGAAAGCTGTATTTCACTAAGCTTAACTTGAGAAAGCTTTTCCAAGAGGCTGACTAGCATTAAGACTAGATATTGTGATACTGATACCACCAATGTACAGTCATCACAGCCACTGCCGCAGTGGAGCCGCAGTAGCTACAGATGTGCTAATTCACCAGCAAAAAATGGAGTGTATTATAGAACCACAGAATGGTTTGGGCTGGAATGGACCTTAAAGATCATCTAGTTCTAACACCCCTGTGATGGGCATAGACACCTTCCACAGCTTCTCTAGGCAACCCTTTTCAGTGCCTCGCTGCCCTCACAGTAAAGAATTTCTTCTTAATATCTAATTTAAATCTATCCTCTTTCAGCTTAAAGTCATTTCTCCTTGTCATATCACTATCTGCCCATGTAAAAAGTCCCTCTCCAGCTGTTCTGTCAGCCCCCCTTAGGTACTGGAAAGTGCTCTAAGGTCTCCCTGGAGCCTTCCCCTCTCCAGGTTTAACAGTACCAACTCTCTCACATGGTCTTTATAGGAGAAGTGCTCATATTCATATTTGTGAATAAGAAACTAATGTAAAATACTGGAGACAAAATAATATCTGGTGATGTTTCCAAATACTATTTTGTTCTTCAATTGAATGTGACTGGCAAAAATGAAGACCTGTGGATGGCAGAGGCATTTATCCCTCAATATCCGCTCCTGCCAACCCTCTTTTTCCACTTAACACAAAATGCAAGATACTCAGACTAGAGAAAAAACAACTGCTGCATTTTCCCATTATCACCTGGAAAAAAAAAAAAAAGTAAAAGCAAGTTATTCCCTCATTGCAAGTTCTGCAAAAATTCACGGTCTCTCATGGAGAAAAGGTAAAACTGGTCACTTGTGCAGGCAGCAACTCTGATTGAATTTCTCTAAGTTTATGTTTATCCTTTCACTTGGAAGAGAAATACATATTTTAAAACACCCCAAACTCTATGAACTTTAATCTCACAGTTTTACATTGCAGTACCAAAGATGAGAGCATACTTTCCTAATAAACTCCATTCCTAAATTACAGAGCACTACGATTAAGATCCACACAACATCCTCAGTGCCACAGATTCTCAGTTACCTCCAAAGAAGGTCTTCCCTTTCCACAGGGAGATCAGCATCAAGAGAGAAAAAAACACACGAGCAACATACTGATGGGAATAACCATCCAAAACATCACAGGAAACACGGCAATGGTAATTTGGCCAAAAATGGCCAGCTGTGTTGACAGCTTTTACAGCATCATGTACCACCCTAACTGGAACAACATGCTATCCAGCTACTCGAAAAAAAGCTTTCAGAAGGAAGAGAGGGTGCCCACCAGTCGCTCCTCCTTTGTTGTTGAAAACCTAACTCCACTAACCACATACATCATGTGCGTGACCTGCCAGTCTGCAAACCCCTCCAGCGACCAGTGCAGAGTGTTTAACACGCTGGAACGAGACCCGGCATCTGCGAGCAACACCAAGAAAGAGTTGGCACTGGGCATCTGGCTCACCAGCAGCATCCTGCTCCTCATCATTGCTGCAATCCTCCTCTATGGCTGCCTGCACCTCCTGTGCCGCAGGAGACATGAGCGCTTGCAAGAACGAAACAGGACCTCCAAACAAGACCACGAGGAGGCATGGACCAAAAGCGTGGCTTACACCTCAGAGGAGTTCAGCAGACAGAGACAACAGATGCAGGACACTGAAGAAAAGCACCCAGGTGGCATCCAGTTGGCCACAATCATAGAGAATCCCTCTGTGTGCAATGAGCCTGTCATGTCGACATCCCAAAGTTGGGAACAAGTCCCAGTAACGGGACAGTGCTCTGCTATAAATTAGAAACCCTTTGTCAGAGAGAACCTTTGCTCAGAAGCAAAGGTTTACATTCCCAAGAAGTGAGCACTTCAGTTACACTCCATTGTTTTAAAATGAAGTATGTAGCAAATAACTGGTTTACATTTCAAGGGGATTTTTTGGTTGCTTTTCTTTAGTCTAAAACAGCAAGTAAATAGAAAAATTAATCAAAAGTGACCCTGAGAATTTTTGTGGGTTTTTGTTTTTTTGTGTGGTTGTTGTTTTTTCTTTTAACTAGAGTGAATAAGACTGAGTAGAAGTTTTCAGATGGCAACCCAGACTGCTACACTACAGGCAACTGGAACATACACACAGAGTGCAATGGTTTGACAGTGTGAGTTTTACTCATACAAATTTAACTGCTTCCCAAACCACGCACTGCAAATTACTGCATTCAGATTATATACTTCACTGTCCATGGTGCTCTCCCTAGCTCCCATGTGCATTGAGGTCAGTCTCAGTATGTAAGCTAAACTCACCAGGATTTTTGTGGTATCCTTTCATCTGTCTTTGAAATTTTCCCTTGGTCTAAATACATGCAGCACAGTGACTTTGTAAGGACACTTCTAATTAAGGAAACATCCTGAGTTATCATATTTTGCACTCTTCTGCTCCCACCACAAGCTACCTTCTGCTCCACGGGCCAGTGACTCCCCGTAGAGGAAATGGAATTCAGAGAAGCAGCTCCCGGCCCTTCCTTCTCTCTTTCCCTTTCAGTTTCAATGATAAAACTCACTAATCAGCTGCAAATTTCTTTCTGATTGCACAGTACATTTTGAGTAATGAAGGAGGGCAAGATAGTAAAAATACCTTTTATTTTTGTAAGAAGAAAACCTGCCGATTATCTTACTCTGCCTCGAGCTTCATGGCAAAGTGCCAAGATCCTTTAGACAGAAACCTGTTCACCCTCACAACATTACAACTCTTATCTGACTTGCATGCATAAGTCACCCTGTTTTAAATCTCTTAAGTGCATTTGTGTTCCAGAAAAACATGATAAATCTTAGTATTGCTATATAGTACATAAAAAATACAGGATACTTTGCCTAGAAAACAAAGGTACACTGTGACTGCAGGCATTTTAAATTGTTATTGATATGAATTTATGTGTGAAGTCAGCTCTCACTGACACAGCTCAGTTGTACCAGTAAAGGCTGGAGAACTGTTAGTTGGGCAGATGCCATCCCTTTCCATCATGTCCTGGAAGTTAGGGGAGTGTACAATTTTGGCAAGAGAGTGCCCAATTTCACAGCAGGTAGCAGATCTCTTCAGTTACTCTATTTTGACAACAATTCCCACAACTTGTGAAAGGCATCAACTCTCATAGCGGTAGGAAGACACAAGTTGGCATAAGTTTGATGCATCTTCTTTATTTTTTTTTTTTTACTAGGATAAGCATGGCACACAGAAATGTGTGTTGATGGGGGCAAGTATTACTTTTAGAAATCAGTTCAAAAGGCATCTGTATTGTGTGAAGTTAGCCATAACGTTTTGTCTACCTGCTACAGAGCATTTCCTCCAGCTGACATGTTTTTCTTTGTCTTGCACATCAGTCTCAAATAAACTTGAAAATGATAACAGTGCACCACTGTTTCAAATGATGGTCTTTCATGAAATAGACACTGAAAAACCCTCTTCAGACAATGAAGTCAACACTACAGGTTAACTTCTGAAAAGGGGTGGCTGGGTACTGGGGACAGAAAAAATGCTTTAATATCTTTCTGTAATCAAATTAACGGTAACACTCCTGTGATCGGGTTTTCATCAAAGAAAAGATGATTTTATTGTTAAAGGGATGGAGCCAAGACATATTCTTATCTCTGCCAACATCTTGGGTCCTTGAAAACCTGTTTACTTCTCTGCATCTCTGTTTCTTTATGTGGGTTTTAAGGCAGTCCAATACACATATTTCCATATATTTGTTATATACACATGTATATATCCTACTGAAAACAAGGAGCAGTTCAGTCTTAAAGCAGTTAAGAGGCAATTCACCTACTGAATTTTGTTATTTGTATATAAACACATATATCCAAAAAGACACGTCTGTATCAGACTAAGACAACAAAGTGGTACCATAGAAGTGCTCCCAAAGGGATTTACCTCATCTAAGTATAACACCATTCCACCCACAGAGTTTACTGTGCACTACTTAGATAAACATTTATATTATCTTACAATCAATGAACCATCTCGCACCCACTGCAAATGAGCCATGTATACAGAGTGTCATCTGTGTTCTCCACTAGCTTTGAACAACTCAAGTCATCACATGCTCATACAACTACATGATTCTTCCTCTCTTGCTCAGAAAGTTCTATTTCAGCTTCATTCAGGTTCATTCTGGCAGTTCTATGTTTTGGTAGTTCACTGTCCAGTTTTAACCATCATCTAGTAAGGGGCAAACATTCTAAGTGATTACCAAACTCATAACAAGTTACAACAGAGTGTAGACTGATGTTAATTACCAGCAGCAGATAAAAACCATCATATTCACATTGAAAAGTACCTTCCAAAAGGGGTGTTTTTCAGAAAACAAATGAGTTAGCACCTACAAAATGCAGGAGATATGCAAACATGAAAATCTTCGGAAAATACTGAATAAGAAAGCAAGTTCTTAAATGCTGGTCTACACAACCTCTATAAAACCAGGTATTTCATAAACATGCCAACTTAGTTCAAATCCCCAGAGGTGATTCTTTCTTCTATGTACATTATTAAATATTTTATGCATCCACTTCTTGTTGCCAAATTCCAACCTGCTAACATTAATTTCATTAATCCTACAGTTACCTTACCCAAGTAAAGGAATTTCAATGACCATGCTCAACAATCTTTTAAAATATTTCAGCTCACTTAAAAGCCTGAGGAGCTTTTGCAGGTCAGCCCCTTCCCACCTGACAGCTCTGCTTCCGTCTCAGCCAGAAGAAATAATTTTATCTGCAGGGTTTTGTTTTGCTAATTGGATGAATATACTGCTCAGGAAACTTTAGATGCAAAAGAGAATGTTGCTACAACTGTCTATGCTAAGCATCAATACACATTAGTATAGACCAAATGCTTTGATTCATTCAGAAACAGCTGAGAATATGTGAACACTTGGAGGTCCAAACTAAAACCTTCTTTAATTACACTTATACAAGCATATTGCTTGTGCAAAGCTTCTGCACAGAAAGTGTTTAGCCATTACAGTGCAATAGGTGCATATATGAGTGCACATAGGCAAAGAAATCAAAATACTCTTGCATTGACCTAAATAGACACATGCATTGCTAAAGAAACCTAAAAACTCCAAAATGCCAAAAAACTCCAAACCAACCAGCAACAAAAAAAATCCAACATGGAAAAGACATTTCTTCACTATGAAGGCAAAATGATCAATGTGAAGCGCTCACCTGAATATCTTAAACAGTTCAAGAACTCAAAAAAGACAAAATTAAAAAAAAAACAAACCCACAGCTACTCCATATTTCGTTATTATCCAGTCAGGAGGCAATTCAACAACGCAATAATTAAAGGACCCAAACAATGATGTGTTCTTGAACAAGCCTGGCTATATACCACACAGAACAATATCATGCAGTCATATTTCACACTAGAACGTGCAGCCTCCATCCTGTAAGAATTCCTATCTGTTACTGGCTATATACAGTAGAAGTGTAAAAAATTCCATTCAGATATCCTCAATTTTGAACCACACTAGATTCAAGAATAAAAACATACTCCTGTAAAAATTAAAAATTACAGAGAGTCAGGAATATTTGCTAATATAGGCATATTTAGTTATGAAATTTGCTCCAGAAATGCAAGTAAGACCCTCCTCAATTGCTTCTGTTCATAGATAAAAATAATCAAGATTTCTGAAAATGTAGAGCTGTCAGAGTAAAGATTACTAAACTCATTTTAATAACGTAACCTGACTGATAAAAAAGTGTTCCTCAGTTAATCCTCTGTCACTCACCCCACTGTATCATCACTCAAATAAATTAAGTTAGCAATCTCTATGAAATTCAGTGGGTTTTTTGCTCTACTCTGCATCTGGTCAGCTCCTAAAATAGTAAGGAACACAATAACTCTAATGTAAGAAAATCCCACTTTCCTATAATTTACTGTTCCCTGTTGGCAAATAATTATATAAAACACTATTCACAGGACCAAACAATCAGCTGTTACATTCCACATTAAGACATGTGAATCATTTTCTACTTCCTTTACATTTTAAAAGCATGAAAGTTTTACAAATATAACAGATATTTTAGGACTGAAATCTGTAACTTCTGAGCTATCTCTTCAGCTCTCAAAAACTAGATTGCTAGGCAGAGATTGCACCACATAACTAGGATATGATGTACAGAAAATAACAGTAAGACACAGATTAATTATGTTCATGTTTAAGCAGGAGGTAAATAATGAAAGTAGCCTGACATAACACTTAGAGCACACCTGTATAAATTAAAAGTAGAACTGAGTACATATTTTTAAACAATTTTAAATAATAATAAATAATTTTAAAGCTTTTTTATTGTCAATTCTCTAATTTGTTCCTTATATTTTCATTTATCTTTTCCATACTTAAATTTGCCTCCCTGGTATTCAGAAAAACAATGCAAAATATAGAACAACAGCTCATTAAAATATTCTCAAATGATTTGCTGAAGATATCACTGCTGGTTTTTACTGCTGTTGGAAGTAGGTTAATATTTCTGACTGGATATTAAAAATGCAGATATATGTTAATACATTATGCCTTTGACTGTCATTAAGACTCAGGTAATAATTCTGAAGCATAAGAAAATAGATCTACAGTGATTAGGGAGAACAAATCTATTCCACATGAGCATAGCATTGGTCCTCCGAATACAGGTTAACTTTCCTCACTCGGGTAGCCCCATGAAAACCCACAACTATTCTCTTGTGTCAAGTGCTCTTTCAACTTGTCACCCACATAAGCTCCTTTCCAACCTTAGTATCAGGGATTGCCTTAAGGCAGAGACTACGTGAGTG